AACACCTCACAACACCACCAAGTAACACGTCACCTCACAACACCACCAAGTAACACGTCACCTCACAACACCACCAAGTAACACCTCACAACACCACCAAGTAACACCTCACACCACCAAGTAACACCTCACAACACCACCAAGTAACACCTCACACCACCAAGTAACACCTCACAACACCACCAAGTAACACCTCACACCACCAAGTAACACCTCACAACACCACCAAGTAACACCTCACACCACCAAGTAACACCTCACAACACCACCAAGTAACACCTCACACCACCAAGTAACACCTCACAACACCACCAAGTAACACCTCACACCACCAAGTAACACCTCACAACACCACCAAGTAACACCTCACACCACCACCAAGTAACACCTCACAACACCACCAAGTAACACCTCACAACACCACCAAGTAACACGTCACCTCACAACACCACCAAGTAACACCTCACAACACCACCAAGTAACACCTCACAACACCACCAAGTAACACCTCACAACACCACCAAGTAACACCTCACAACACCACCAAGTAACACCTCACAACACCACCAAGTAACACCTCACAACACCACCAAGTAACACGTCACCTCACAACACCACCAAGTAACACCTCACAACACCACCAAGTAACACCTCACAACACCACCAAGTAACACGTCACCTCACAACACCACCAAGTAACACGTCACCTCACAACACCACCAAGTAACACCTCACACCACCAAGTAACACCTCACAACACCACCAAGTAACACCTCACAACACCACCAAGTAACACCTCACACCACCACCAAGTAACACCTCACACCACCACCAAGTAACACCTCACAACACCACCAAGTAACACCTCACAACACCACCAAGTAACACGTCACCTCACAACACCACCAAGTAACACCTCACAACACCACCAAGTAACACCTCACAACACCACCAAGTAACACCTCACAACACCACCAAGTAACACCTCACAACACCACCAAGTAACACCTCACAACACCACCAAGTAACACCTCACAACACCACCAAGTAACACCTCACAACACCACCAAGTAACACCTCACAACACCACCAAGTAACACCTCACAACACCACCAAGTAACACCTCACACCACCACCAAGTAACACCTCACACCACCAAGTAACACCTCACACCACCAAGTAACACCTCACACCACCAATTAACACCTCACACCACCAAGTAACACCTCACAACACCACCAAGTAACACCTCACAACACCACCAAGTAACACGTCACCTCACAACACCACCAAGTAACACGTCACCTCACAACACCACCAAGTAACACGTCACCTCACAACACCACCAAGTAACACCTCACACCACCAAGTAACACCTCACACCACCAAGTAACACCTCACACCACCAAGTAACACCTCACACCACCAAGTAACACCTCACACCACCAAGTAACACCTCACAACACCACCAAGTAACACCTCACAACACCACCAAGTAACACCTCACAACACCACCAAGTAACACCTCACACCACCAAGTAACACCTCACAACAACACCAAGTAACACCTCACACCACCACCAAGTAACACCTCACAACACCACCAAGTAACACCTCACACCACCAAGTAACACCTCACACCACCAAGTAACACCTCACAACACCACCAAGTAACACCTCACACCACCACCAAGTAACACCTCACACCACCAAGTAACACCTCACACCACCAAGTAACACCTCACAACACCACCAAGTAACACCTCACACCACCACCAAGTAACACCTCACACCACCAAGTAACACCTCACACCACCACCAAGTAACACCTCACACCACCAAGTAACACCTCACAACACCACCAAGTAACACCTCACAACACCACCAAGTAACACCTCACAACACCACCAAGTAACACCTCACACCACCACCAAGTAACACCTCACAACACCACCAAGTAACACCTCACACTACCACCAAGTAACACCTCACACCACCAAGTAACACCTCACAACACCACCAAGTAACACCTCACAACACCACCAAGTAACACCTCACACCACCAAGTAACACCTCACAACACCACCAAGTAACACCTCACACCACCACCAAGTAACACCTCACAACACCACCAAGTAACACCTCACACCACCACCAAGTAACACCTCACACCACCAAGTAACACCTCACAACACCACCAAGTAACACCTCACACCACCACCATGTAACACCTCACACCACCACCAAGTAACACCTCACAACACCACCAAGTAACACCTCACACCACCACCAAGTAACACCTCACACCACCAAGTAACACCTCACAACACCACCAAGTAACACCTCACACCACCACCAAGTAACACCTCACAACACCACCAAGTAACACCTCACAACACCACCAAGTAACACCTCACAACACCACCAAGTAACACCTCACAACACCACCAAGTAACACCTCACAACACCACCAAGTAACACCTCACAACACCACCAAGTAACACCTCACACCACCACCAAGTAACACCTCACACCACCAAGTAACACCTCACACCACCAAGTAACACCTCACAACACCACCAAGTAACACCTCACACCACCACCAAGTAACACCTCACACCACCAAGTAACACCTCACACCACCACCAAGTAACACCTCACACCACCAAGTAACACCTCACAACACCACCAAGTAACACCTCACAACACCACCAAGTAACACCTCACAACACCACCAAGTAACACCTCACACCACCACCAAGTAACACCTCACAACACCACCAAGTAACACCTTACACCACCACCAAGTAACACCTCACACCACCAAGTAACACCTCACAACACCACCAAGTATCACCTCACAACACCAACAAGTAACACCTCACACCACCAAGTAACACCTCACAACACCACCAAGTAACACCTCACACCACCACCAAGTAACACCTCACAACACCACCAAGTAACACCTCACACCACCACCAAGTAACACCTCACACCACCAAGTAACACCTCACAACACCACCAAGTAACACCTCACACCACCACCAAGTAACACCTCACACCACCACCAAGTAACACCTCACAACACCACCAAGTAACACCTCACACCACCACCAAGTAACACCTCACACCACCAAGTAACACCTCACAACACCACCAAGTAACACCTCACAACACCACCAAGTAACACCTCACAACACCACCAAGTAACACCTCACAACACCACCAAGTAACACCTCACAACACCACCAAGTAACACCTCACAACACCAAGTAACACCTCACAACAACACCAAGTAACACCTCACAACACCACCAAGTAACACCTCACAACACCACCAAGTAACACCTCACAACACCAAGTAACACCTCACAACAACACCAAGTAACACCTCACAACACCACCAAGTAACACCTCACAACACCACCAAGTAACACCTCACAACACCAAGTAACACCTCACAACACCACCGAGTAACAGCTCACAACATCACCAAGTAACACCTCACAACACCACCAAGTAGCACCTCACAACACCACCAAGTAGCACCTCACAACACCACCAAGTAACACCTCACAACACCACCAAGTAGCACCTCACAACACCACCAAGTAACACATCATACCACCAAGTAATACCTCACAACACCAAGTAACACATCATAACACCACCAAGTAACACCTCACAACACCACAAAGTAACACCTCACAACACCACCAAGTAACACCTCACAACACCAAGTAACACCTCACAACACCAAGTAACACTCACTACCAAGCGTGGTAGCCCTCACTACTTCCCTCACCCAGCCACTTGGGCTGGACGGTAGAGCGACGGTTCATGCAGGTCGGCGTTCAATCCCCGATCGTCGAAGTGGTTGGGGCACCATTCCTTCCCCCCGTCCCATCCCTAATCTTTATCCTGACCCCTTCCCAGTGCTATATAGTCGTAATGGCTTCGTCCCTTATAATTTCCTCCCTCCCTCCTTCCTTCCTCGTCAGCTTATTCCAGATTATACTGTGTCATGTGACATCCTTTACCCAGGTATTACCCATCTTCCCTCACCCTCCATAGACGTATTTGTCCCAACACGGCCTCCTACAATGATGTTACTTAGAGCAACTATTTTCTCTAGTTTACCAATATTATTACTTCCGTAGAGGCCCTCCTATAATAGATCTTCAAACCGAACTTAAATATTCCTAGGCCTAGTATACCAGATATATGGTATATTACGCCTAAGTTGGCGTATATTAGGTCTAGGGATGTTTGTATAGGTTAGATTAAATGAACAAATCCACAAGGGCCGTGACGAGGATTCGAACCTGCGTCCGGGAGCATCCCAGACACTGCCTTAATCGACTGAGCTACGACAGGGTAAAAAGAGTTGAAACCGAAGTTCTACTGAACTTAGTGGATCCCGTAGCCTCTCCGAGGCACAAACCAGGACTTTACACAACTTCAGGTTAGATTACTTTCTTTCGTTACGTTTCCAATTTTCCGCAATGCACTTTCAACTACAGTAATTCAATAATTCAGACTCGTAAGCTATCTGAGGGTCCAAGAGTACATCGTTAGAGTAAACAGTTGCTTTAAGTACCATCATTTTAGGAGGATGGGGATGAGTTTTGTCAGGACGCGCCCCCTCTCCCCACCCCTCTCCCCGCAGCCCTATCCCCCATGTACACCATCCCCCACCTCTCCTGTCCCACGCTGTTCCATCTGCTCCACACCCACCCATCCTCCCGTATACGCCATCCCTTACCAAAAATTCCTCCTATTCTAACCCTCCCCGCAAGCATAATACTCCATTATCACCACAGCATAACCATCCATTCAACCTTTCCAGCAAACACAAAATATGAAAAAATGTTAATTATGCGTTCTTACGACAGTGCAACGACGTAATAACGTCATATCAACGTTTTTCCACGTCATATGTGTGTGTTTGCCGGGGGAGGGCTGGAGCAGCGGCGGGAGCCTCGCCCGGGGCTTACCTCTCCAGTCGAAGTTATTGTCGCACTCGACCGTCCTGTTCATGATCATGTAGGCGTTGAGGAGACGCAGCTTTTTGGACTTGACCAGAGACGTGCCGTTGTTGAGCCAGTCGTACGTCAACTCGTGCTTCTCGTACGATACTGTAAACAATAACAGATGTTTCACTTGTATATTATACAGGACTTGGTCAAACGTCAATGCTTCACTTGTATATTATACAGGACTTGGTCAAACGTCAATGCTTCACTTGTATATTATACAGGACTTGGTCAAACATCTAAATATTTGTTATAGCGTCAGTTCAAGAATATTAATATATTCTTATACTGACACGAAGACATTCCAAATGACAAATTCAACTTCAATGTGTCAGAATATTATTTACCAGCGGCATTTTTTTCAACCCTTCAGCTGCATTTTATATCCAGCAGTAAACAGTAAAATTAAATACCTAATTTAACAATAAAGAAAAATAATGCATTTTTCATAAAAAAATTCGTTAATAATAACTAATTTCATTTATATGGCATTAATTTCTTTGCAAAACAAACAAAAAAATACACACAGAAATCACAATAGCGTAATATATGAAATGAACAAATCCACAAGGGCCGTGATGGGGGCTCGAACCTACACACGGAATGTTCCCCAGTGAATCGTGTGAAAATGAACACACGATTTGTTCATATTCCAAGTCGTGTGATCTATAAGATAATTTACCATAGTTACCGCCTCAAACCCCATTTAACATTCTTTTCAGTGACATCAATAGAGAAAACAAAAATATTAACATAAACAGATATATTTAGCAGAAGAAATTGACACAAATTTTAGATTGGAAATATTCGTAAAACATAAGCACCATAGAATAATTTGAGGCTTATGGTATATAATGACCTAAGTGATAACCAGTGAGCAATTCCATAGTCTCCTGAGTCTGACTGATGCCTATTACTGCTACAATAACTACTACTGTATAATGATATAGTATACTGTCATAATTATAATGACAGCATAATGTATTAGCTTAATGTATTTAGTTTTTGTTTTTATGTTTACATATGTGGATTCTAACAAAAAAATATGCTGTGATTATTGAAAAAATGGCGCACATGGACTTAAGGTAACCTGACGCGAATGATGCCGTAGCCAAGATGGCGAAGCAGCCTCTTAACAGCCTATCATAATACATGAAAAGGAAAACAGTTCACTAGGATTATGTATTTTCGCGGATCAATGGTGGAAAACTGTAGCATATTACAGAAAACGGTACAAAAAAAAACAGCAGGAATTAAGGACAAGGAGCTGAGATACGAGGACAAGGAGCTGGGATACGAGGACAAGGAGCTGGGATACGAGGACAAGGAGCTGGGATGTGAGGACAAGGAGCTGAGATACGAGGACAAGGAGCTGGGATACGAGGACAAGGAGCTGAGATACGAGGACAAGGAGCTGGGATACGAGGACAAGGAGCTGGGATACGAGGACAAGGAGCTGGGATACGAGGACAAGGAGCTGAGATACGAGGACAAGGAGCTGGGATACGAGGACAAGGAGCTGTTATACGAGGACAAGGAGCTGGGATACGAGGACAAGGAGCTGGGATACGAGGACAAGGAGCTGGGATACGAGGACAAGGAGCTGGGATACGAGGACAAGGAGCTGGGATACGAGGACAAGGAGCTGGGATGTGAGGACAAGGAACTGAAGTATGAGGATAATGAGCTATGACAACACAAATGCATGTTGCATATGAAACAATTTGAAATATAAAGCTTTAAGATATAAACAATATCACAACCCCCCCAACAAACATTTAAATTAAACAAAATTATAAAGAATCACCAATTTGAAAAGAGCTTTGAAGTACTCACTACTTTCCATAGCGAAGGTGCAGGAAGGGTCATCAAATGGGAATTTATTGATATTTCCTTCACACGATAGAATAAGGTACCGCCTGTGGGAGATTAAAGAGCTAACATTAGTTACTGCTATTACTTGCTAAGCACCTCTCTGTGGGCTCCATTCGTGGGCTCCACAGGCCATGAGGGGTCGCCAAGAATAAGTTAAACTCATGGGATCTATAACCAGCTTGTAGGCAGGTATGGTGCATGATGAGTAAGACTGTGTAGGAGTGGGGGCCGCTCACCGTATGGTGTAGGTGACGTTGCCTCTTCTGCCTATCTTGAGTGCGATGTTGTCTTGGGAGAGGTCGTACTTAAACTCTCCTCTCATGATGAAGTAGGTATCCGGCAGCCAGATGTCGCTCTGAAATACAGTATATACATCAGATTACCCGAGTATTTTGTTGCAATGTATTACTGGGTTACTGTATGCCCCTGTCACAACGTATCACAATGCTACTTTATGCCTTGTAGCAACGTTCCTGGTGCATAACATTGATTGATGTTCCTGCTACAAAGCACATATCTGATTGATGTTCCTGCTACATATCACTGACTAATGTCAAGGGCACAAAACAGTACACTCTCTAAGAACAAACAAACACTGTGGTGAGCTGTCAGACTTACACGAGCACACAGCTGGCTCAGGTGGCACACCTGCAGTCACACCACAGCTGGCTCAGGGTGTACACCTGAGCCACACCACAGCTGACTCAGGTGGCACACCTGCAGAGCCACACCACAGCTGGCTCAGGGTGTACATCTGAGCCACACCACACCCACACCGTACAACACACAGTATTGTACTGGTTCACACCCTCCCATTCAATAACCTCTTTTCACTCTACTATTTGATGAACACTAATACCACCAGTTGCTACTGTACGGAGGTGTTCACGAGTGTACAACATCGTAGAGTGGGTTGTACAGGAGTGTACAACTGGCCTGTTATCTTGTACAGGAGTGTGGTAGACTCACCAGGTGGTGCATGCCGCTGAGGTACAGATGGCGGCCGGCGTCGTTGTGCTGAAGGCGCGGGTCGTACCACTGCTGGTGCAGGAGCAGCTCCACCTCGTATATCTGTGGAACACACACAGTCACAGCTACACCTCGTATATCTGTGGAACACATACAGTCACAGCTACACCTCGTATATCTGTGGAACACACACAGTCACAGCTACACCTCGTATATCTGTGGAACACACACAGTCACAGCTACACCTCGTATATCTGTGGAACACACACAGTCACAGCTACACCTCGTATATCTGTGGAACACATACAGTCACAGCTACACCTCGTATATCTGTGGAACACACACAGTCACAGCTACACCTCGTATATCTGTGGAACACACACAGTCACAGCTACACCTCGTATATCTGTGGAACACACACACAGTCACAGCTACACCTCGTATATCTGTGGAACACACACAGTCACAGCTACACCTCGTATATCTGTGGAACACACACAGTCACAGCTACACCTCGTATATCTGTGGAACACACACAGTCACAGCTACACTTCGTATATCTGTGGAACACACACAGTCACAGCTACACCTCGTATATCTGTGGAACACACACAGTCACAGCTACACCTCGTATATCTGTGGAACACACACAGTCACAACTACACACCAAACAATCTCACGAGGGATTCACGACGCTGGAGTCTCAAGCCGTTGTGTTCGATTGCACCTGCAAGTTGCTATCACGGTCGAGTGTGGGGAAGTGACTCCGTTCCTGCAACTGCTACTTCTCGTCCAATCATTATTTAACAAGTGGCAGAGACAAGGCAAGACGGAATATACCTCTTTATGACAGACTGAGCAGGGGGCCCACCCGGCTCAGTCTATCTTGTGTAGACTGAGCATTGTATACCCTCATTGAGTATTGTATACATACCCCCCAAGTATTGTGTACATACTAGGGGGGGGTATGGCGCTACCCAGTGATCAAGACGGTTCCCCTGCCACAGGTTCTTGTCTCAAGAACCAGCCGGGGGCTGGGAGTCTATCAATGGCGGTTCACTTACTGGAATTTATTCGGATGTGCCCTAAGGTAATTCTCAACCAAGTGCCTTGTACTGTACTAGTTTAAAATATAAATCAGGTTAATGCAAGGTCGAGATGTTTCTGTATTAGCTATACGTGCAGTAACTTGCTAACGTGAACACCAACGAGTATCTGGTGTGCGTTACTTGTGTTAGTGGGCAACGTTACCAATGAACCAGTTAACACCACAGGGTGGTAGAGTGATACTTGGCAGCCTGCTGGCACTAGTGACACTGTAGCTAAGGACGGGGACACACATGCACTCTTTACGCTGGACAAAATTCCTGTGAAAAATCAATATGCATGTTGAGTGTAGCGTGTGGTAGGTGGGTCTCTGTCATGGTGGTAGGTGGGTCTCTGTCATGGGTGGTAGGTGGGTCTCTGTCATGGTGGTAGGTGGGTCTCTGTCATGGGTGGTAGGTGGGTCTCTGTCATGGTGGTAGGTGGGTCTCTGTCATGGGTGGTAGGTGGGCCTCTGTCATGGGTGGTAGGTGGGCCTCTGTCATGGGTGGTAGGTGGGCCTCTCTGTCATGGGTGGTAGGTGGGCCTCTGTCATGGGTGGTAGGTGGGCCTCTGTCATGGGTGGTAGGTGGGCCTCTGTCATGGGTGGTAGGTGGGCCTCTGTCATGGGTGGTAGGTGGGCCTCTGTCATGGGTGGTAGGTGGGCCTCTGTCATGGGTGGTAGGTGGGCCTCTGTCATGGGTGGTAGGTGGGCCTCTGTCATGGGTGGTAGGTGGGCCTCTGTCATGGGTGGTAGGTGGGCCTCTGTCATGGGTGGTAGGTGGGCCTCTGTCATGGGTGGTAGGTGGGCCTCTGTCATGGGTGGTAGGTGGGCCTCTGTCATGGGTGGTAGGTGGGCCTCTGTCATGGGTGGTAGGTGGGCCTCTGTCATGGGTGGTAGGTGGGCCTCTGTCATGGGTGGTAGGTGGGCCTCTGTCATGGGTGGTAGGTGGGCCTCTCTGTCAGTGTTGGGGAGCGTCACGTCAGGCAACAGCTATGGCTATGGGGGCTGAGGCTATGATGTTTTATTTCCCGCTACTCCTTCACTTCCAAGTAGCACGGGCTATGGTGAGCCCAAAGTGGACTTACCTGTCACAGGAGCGGGGCTGAGGATGTGACTGTTGTAGAGATAATAAAGTGGGGAGGAGGGGGTGGTGGTGAATAGTAAGAAGGAGGGGAAAAAGGGGGGAAGAGACCCGGGTGCAACCGGGCACCCTTTTCTACATAAATAAATGAAAATATTTATCTATTCATGGATGGAACAGAGCGGGATGGGGTGAGGGGAAGGAATAGGAGAGGATGTGTAGAGGGAGAGGAAGAGCAGAGAGGAAGAGCAGACAGGGTCTCCTGGGCACCGCCACCTAGCATTCTTATAAATAAAAACAGTTATCGTTTCTTATGTCACATATAGGTCAAGGGCAGGAATCAATTTCCGGTAGTTGGGTTATGTTGCAAATGTGTTGGCTTGCGTGCACGTGCCGGGCAGTGCTGTGGGAACTGAGCAACACGAGACCATCGATCCCCCGACCGTCCGGGCACCGCTCCTTCCTTTCGTGCCATCTCAGCTCCACCTTCTGGCCCTGCCAAGTGGTATGTGGTCACACCGGCCAGGTGCTCGCTCCTCATCCCTACCTGACAAGACTTGTGGTGGGCTAGAGAGACTGGAGGAGGACTCACCAGGCTGGACTCATCAGGAGAGGAAAGACTCAGCAGATGGACGCTCACGTTGACCCGTAGCGGACCATCTAAGGAAGGAGAAAGACTCACGACAGTTATTACATTTATAAAGTTTCGGTTCTAATGGCTAATTTTTAAACACGTGTTTAATGGAATACATATAATGACAGATATATGGGTTATAAAAGCACACATATATGTATGCTTGTCTCAAACAGGAGAGGACAGGTTAGGCAGTGATCAGGAGGCCGCAGAAGCTCTAGTAAGTTGTGGGATATTCCACCCTATATGTCAAAATTATAATTGAAGAATCATATCAGATTCATTATCTTGAATCATAAATATACTGAATCCTATATCAGAATCATTATCTCTAATCCTACATTAGAATCCTACATCTATTGATCATACTTAAATCCTACATGTATTGATCATACTTAAATCATAGAGTCTAGATCCTATATGTCACTGCTACAAGTTTCGACAAGGAGCTATATTAATTAAAAAACTGTTGGAACATTATTTGACTTCCGGTGATGATTATCTCAAATCCATTATAAAGAATCAATTATACTACAAGTACAACCTATAATCATTGAATCCAATATATATTTATCTTATAATCTCCCTTTATCTCAATAATCTGTCTAGACAATAAAAATAACTTATCAATATTCATTGAAGGCTAACCTCCCTGAGAGAGGGAGGAGCCGCTTCGGAGAGCAAGCGCCCACTGGAGCGCCAGAGGGCAATGCATTTGTTTACATCTAATGAGTACACGTGTGCTGTGCTTGAGACATTTTCGAAGGACAATACCGCAGAAACTAATCTTAAATCCACAGGGACAGCTCTCTAGGTACTCAGGGAGATATTGAACTATAAATTAGGACTAATTACTAATACGAGTGAAGAGAGTGGTCAGCTCACTGCATGTAAGGGCACCTCCACCACCACAGAATCTATTCTCCACTAAATACTACTAGTGAATTAATCCAACAGCAAAGCTGCTATATTTCATCAAAATACTGTGTCTAATCACAAGAAAAGAGATTTAATCTGGTAATGGTCAGATTGGCACCAGCACTCAGAACTGATAAGTCTTTAGTGTTTTGTAGTGTGTCCAAATGAGCCAATTTTGCATGCTTTCATAACCTTAATCAATCCAATAAGTGCGATTTGTCGTTATATCGCGGGGTAATACCCCAATATCCAGTAAGAATTTGACTTAATCTTTTCAAATAACTTAATCTTTTCAATTTAATCTGAATATATCTGAAGATATTTACAAATCTGTATATATATATATAATTCATCAGCATAATTTATTAATTGCCATCATAAGTATCATCAATATATCATATTAGTTTATCGTATTGCATATAATATCTTGCTTGTATAATACAATAACTTATATTACTAGTGTTTACTAGTACTGTACCAGTAATATTGGGAGTTATATTACTAGTATCTCATTATTGGCGGCAAGATCTCAGAGCTACGCTAGACTGTGTACAGTCTTGAGATCTTTGGATTATTGAACAGAACCAGTATTTACAGTCATAGTAAATTATTGTAAATTATTGTATTCATTGTATAAAATACATTGCTGATGTGTTGAAATGCCTGCAGGTAGATTGTGGTTCTGCAATCAGTAACCAAGATCACCCTTAAGAGACACTATCTTCCCCCTACAGCCCATTTTCCTTCCTAGGAAAAGAGGAGCTAGATTTACAATCTAGCAAAGGACATTTGTAAAAGCTTAGAATATCAGTTTTTATTTTTACATGCTTAGTTAGAGTAATCTTTAAGTTCTAGTCCATTTATTTTTCCTCAATAGCATCTCCCGCACAGGAGTACCAAGGCCTGGCCATGTGGTCGATATTATCCACAGGGTTACCAACACACTAGTTAAGGGTCAGGCACCAACTACCACCACCACTGGTAATGAACAGCGAGCTTATGTTGTTGAGAACAAGGGTATGTGAGGCTGTGCTTAACTATTAACGTTACTTGTGAATAATGAATTATTAATTGATGCAAATCATCTATGCATCACTTATTAATTGATGCAAATCATCTATGCATCAGTTATTAATTGATGCAATTCATCTATGCATCAGTTATTAATTGATGCAAATCATCTATGCATCAGTTATTAATTGATGCATTCGTGCGGACACAATTCAATAGAGTACACAGGCGATGAGTCACAATAACGTGGCTAAAGTATGTTGACCAGACCACACACTAGAAGGTGAAGGGACGGCGACGTTTCGGTCCGTCCTGGACCATTCTCACAATCGTCTTGAGAATGATCCAGGACGGTACGAAACGTCGTCGTCCCTTCACCTTCAAGTGTGTGGTCTGGTCAATACATTTTCTACACTGCCGTTATTACTACACATCTCAACCTGTCATCGTCATTACATTAATTATTTATGATATGTTTAAAATTCGAATAACACAATCTAGCGCAAGTTTTGTTCCTGGGTAATGTTATTTTCCGACTGCTTACGTCTCCAGAGCATCAGTAAGCAATTATCAGAAGAACGCACCAAGCCGGGAAGACCATGTAGCCCTCCTCCAAAGTTTGGTAAATGGTTATTGTTCTCAACAAGGTTTCCTTTGACCCTTGCCTCAGACAGCTTAGGAAGACGTCTTGAAGGTTCCTGAAGGCCGGAGACTCCATATCTAGAGCCGCGACACACTCACAAGACGGCAGCCTTCAGGAACCTTCAAGACATCTCCCCCTAAGCTGTCTGAGGCAAAGTCAAAGCCTCAGCTTTGACTGAGCTGACAAAGCAAAGCTTGATAGCTATAACAACAACTTACTGTAGTTTGCAGGCATAAGCAATCAGAAAATATTACCTATTATCCAGGATTTTTGTTTACACAGTGTAATCAATGCCTCGTGGTACTTTGTTATTAAAATTCTTCCCGTGTGTTAGTTGCTTGGGTAGGCCTAATAGATAAGGTAACAGCTAGTATAAATAAAGAAGAGTGGCGCAGTAGCAAGCCTCACCTTTAACGGGAGGTCTAATTCTCTTGTCATATCTGCTCTTGTGTAGCAGGTAGTCCAGGATCTCCTTGTCTGATGACTCCATGAAGAACCTGTTGAAAGGAAGCAGAGTTAGGCACTGATCCAAACACTTTGACCATGGGTACCTTGGGCCCTGGACATTATGGACCTCTGACATCTAGGCCCCGAACATCTTGGGCCCCTGGACACCTTGCATCCTGGACATTGTGATATTGTAGCCTAATTAAGTATAGAAGCACTGACAATGCATAAATTGACGGAGGATCTGAAGGCGGCAATTTGGTGGAGAAAGGCATACTGGGGAAGGGTGGAAGCAAAGAATATATGGAGCCAGAGTGTGTGCAGGAAGGGAAAAACGAACCAGCAGAGGTGCGAGCATTTGGAGACCTTGGATGATAAGGTCTCGCCCTATATATTATTCTCTTTTTCTGATTTTCACGGAGTTTCAGGTTCCTATCTAAAGAACAGTGTCCGCCATCTTGTTTTCTGCCGCCGTGTTGCCTCTTACTCCCGTGGTACACATGCTCCCAGTGAGAGAATAGTGAAGACGGACGATGGGATCGAACTCTCGTCCCTAGACTCCCCAGAGACGACGCACATCTGTATGTGCTCCTAGACATATCATGCTCTTGTGATGTAATTGTGTATGTCTAAACTCATAAGGCTTAGATTTGCCAGGTTAACATCTATGCCTTTTACTCTGTCCTGATAGCTATCAGTGCATCAATATTGGGTTATGGCTTTCCACAGCTTATCTTCCAACTTTGCTAATGTTTTCTCAAATGTTTCATTCGGATTCTCACATTTGATCCAATACTCTCTCATTTTTTACAGTTCATTCTGTCAATTCCTTTTAGTTTCCTCTTTATGCTTCAGTTTTCACAGTTGCTACTGTTTACCCTCAGTGACTGCTTCCCTCGCTTAATTGTTCTGGTCACGTGGGGACGGTCTGGAGGTCGATCCCTGATTGACATTCTCTGCCACCCCCGGGTCCTCTCTGCCACCCCGGGGTCCTCTGCCACCCCGGGGTCCTCTCTGCCACCCCCGGGGTCCTCTCTGCCACCCCGGGGTCCTCTCTGCCACCCCGGGGTCCTCTCTGCCACCCCGGGGTCCTCTCTGCCACCCCTGGGTCCTCTCTGCCACCCCGGGGTCCTCTCTGCTACCCCGGGGTCCTCTCTGCCACCCCGGGGTCCTCTCTGCCACCCCTGGGTCCTCTCTGCCACCCCGGGGTCCTCTCTGCCACCCCGGGGTCCTCTCTGCCACCCCGGGGTCCTCTCTGCCACCCCTGGGTCCTCTCTGCCACCCCGGGGTCCTCTCTGCCACCCCGAGGTCCTCTCTGCCACCCCGGGGTCCTCTCTGCCACCCCGAGGTCCTCTCTGCCACCCCGAGGTCCTCTCTGCCATCCCGGGGTCCTCTCTGCCACCCCTGGGTCCTCTCTGCCACCCCGGGGTCCTCTCTGTCACCCCTGGGTCATCTCTGCCACCCCTGGGACCTCTCTGCCACCCCTGCGTCGTCTCTGCCACCCCGGGGTCCTCTCTGCCACCCCTGGGTCGTCTCTGCCACCCCTGGGTCGTCTCTGCCACCCCTGGGTCCTCTCTGCCACCCCTGGGTCGTCTCTGCGACCCCTGGGACCTCTCTGCCACCCCTGGGTCATCTCTGCCACCCCTGGGACCTCTCTGCCACCCCTGCGTCGTCTCTGCCACCCCCGGGTCCTCTCTGCCACCCCTGGGTCGTCTCTGCCACCCCTGGGTCGTCTCTGCCACCCCTGGGTCCTCTCTGCCACCCCTGGGTCGTCTCTGCGACCCCTGGGACCTCTCTGCCACCCCTGGGTCATCTCTGCCACCCCTGGGACCTCTCTGCCACCCCTGCGTCGTCTCTGCCACCCCCGGGTCCTCTCTGCCACCCCTGGGTCGTCTCTGCCACCCCTGGGTCGTCTCTGCCACCCCTGGGTCCTCTCTGCCACCCCTGGGTCGTCTCTGCGACCCCTGGGACCTCTCTGCCACCCCTGGGTCGTCTCTGCGACCCCTGGGACCTCTCTGCCACCCCTGGGTCGTCTCTGCCACCCCCGGGTCTCCGCCACCCCCGGGCCCACTCTCCACCTACTGTGCTCTACGCTTCTCTCTCATTCTTGAGATAATCTAACATTTGGGGGATCTAAAATATCTCATTAAATGACCTTATTTCTTGCAGTTATCATTCACACGGATTTCTTTCTTGCATCTTTAATATTAGGTTTTCCTTGTGTGTTGGGTCCATCATGTCCGCTCACTTCCGTATACGTGGAGCCAGAGAGGTGGCTCCCTCCACCACCCTCAGTGTTCCTCTGGTCTCTGGCTCCTGTGACCTGTAGCAGGTCACCTGGTGTGCTTTCGGGTTCAGATGAGAGAGAGAGAGAGAGAGAGAGAGAGAGAGAGAGAGAGAGAGAGAGAGAGAGAGAGAGAGAGAGAGAGAGAGAGAGAGAGAGAGAGAGAGAGAGAGAGAGAGAGAGAGAGAGAGAGAGAGAGAGAGAGAGAGAGAGAGAGAGAGAGAGAGAGAGATAGAGAGAGAGAGAGAGAGAACAAAACAGAAGGAGAGAGAGAGGAAGAGGAGGAGAAGAGGAGGGGGGGGGGGGGGAAGAGAGTGGTGTGGACTTAAGAGAGAGAAGAAGACAAATTTCCGAATAATATTTGGTGTTAGAAGGAAACATTAGAGATAGTAAGACTTACTCTCTGGCGTGGACCTGGGAGACGCAGGAGCAGAGGAGGAAGGTGACGATGGCCAGCAGACACACGCCCGCCGCCGCCGCCCGCGGTAGCCCCCGCACCATCTTACATCACCTGCGGCACAGATAAACACCGCGTTATATTACCCGAGGCAGATACATAACACTCTTCAATTAACTTCCTCCTAAATCTATGTAACATCCTTCACCAGCTGACATTTGGGTCAACATACGTCAACGTTTCGGTGCATGTTGGTCCCTTATCAAGTCGAGTCTGAGGAAGAGAGTTGAGGGAGGCAATACCGGGCAAGAGAGGAGCTGAGCTTGGAGAAGGTGAGGCTTAATGGGGGGGAGGATATATGTCGGAAAAACCCGACATCATTTATCAACCTATAATACAACATGCAGATAATAACGCTGCTGATTTTGTACTAACAAATTAACTTTTTCTTTAGCCATTCAAATAAAATTAGAATTGTGGCCTTTTTCCCCGAGAAAATGAGAATATCGCTGCCACCTCACAAGAATATACACTATTAAATAATTCCTAAAACACCAGTCTTGGCATTATAATCAATAAAAAAGTATTCTCTATGACTGTATCTAATATAACTATCGATAAAACTTAAGGTCTACCTCCCATTGTCAATAAGAGGGCAGAATTAGAACTGTAGTGGGGGAGCATCCCCCTACACCGGCAGAGGGAGACGCCAATGAAGAACATCAACAAAGCCTCACGTGGGAGCCCGCTTGAAAGCTCCACCAATATTTCCCCTCTAGTCGCAGTGTTGTGGGACGCAACTCTCCTATCATCAGCACATCTTCCCAGACCAATAAGGGAAGTGCTCTGTAAATCTAGTCATTCCTAGCCAGTAATGTAGGTAGATTAGGGGTAGAACAGTGAGGAGACGAGGCGAGCCACCCGAGAGGGTAAATATCATTCTTTAATTAGAATAATAATTTCCCGTGATTATTCTAATCACGGGAAATGACGGCTATAATGATTAGAATAATCATTATAGCCGTCATATATTGGTTACGATTATTACTGCGTACTGCTTTGTCAGGAGAGATTGAAGGGGAAGAAGAATAATCAGCAGCTACCTGGTGCAACAGGTGACATGTGATGACGCTAGCCTAACCCACGAGGAGTATCTCGTGCCGTGATCTGTCGTGTTCATACCTGGGTTGACTAGGCTGTAAACAACTATACAGCTAAGATGTGTTTAACTTTTGTTCACTAACAAATGTAGTCTAACACCTAGTAACATTTTTATCAAATTGCTACCAATCGATTAATTTGGATTTGTAGGCTATATAATTAATTAACCTCGAACTTGTGTAGGAAACTACTTGTGGGAAAATTTAACATACAGTCCGCTATCGAAATAAATAAATTAACGTAAAAATAAATTAATATACGAATAAATTATAAATAATTAAATAAATGAATTAATACTTGTAATTAAAATACAAAACCATGAAAACCAAACTAAACCCACCAGCTGGCGACGAGATGAAAGGAAAACTAAATGTAAACAGAGAAGAGAAGTAGTAAACATGTTTACTTTTCCTCCCTTCATCAGATATATCTCTCTCTTTCAGGTCGTTTTCCTTTGCAGGAGTCGAGTCTCTCCTATGCCTTTACATAAGGATTGCCAGCTCCAACCATCTAAATATACACAGTAGAAAACAAATATATCTATAAATGCGTCTGCCAATGCTCAAACAACGAGGCTCTGTCGAGGATCTCGCATTCGTAACTACGATATATTGTAATTCAACAACATCGAAATAATCGATTGAAACAACGACAATAGAAGATTAGACATAGCCGAAGCACTACATATCAAACACTCCTCCAAGCCTCTCAATAGTCCCCTTCCACTTAGGTACACCTTAACATCGTCCACGAAACCAAGACAGAACTCCCACAGTACACCTAACCTGCTGTCCCTACACAGCCGACGCATACCTTGTGTAACACCTTACTTCACCTGATTCCACATGGAATATGTAAAGTAGTCCCTCCCACAGTGTATTTACGGGCTCACCATAGCCCGTGCTACATGGACATTTCGTTCTGAGTACCTAAATCTAAAACAACAATAACAACACAGTGTAACCACACACACTGATACCCGTCGAGGGTGTGGACACAATGCCACCCAAACGTCTGAAGGTTAGAGCTACTCCTCTTGACGGTCACGCTTTCTGGAAAAGCGATATTCTAAACGTCCTGAAGAACGTTACCGGCATCACACCCGCTGACATTAGTCAGGAAGGTGATGATATCGTGCTCTTCTTTTCATGTGAGGAAGAGCTAGGAAAAACTCTTGACCAACGATGCCATACTTCGCCAGGAGCACTACCTACATCCTCACTTCCCACGTCAGTTCCTGGCCGGAAGAACTGTTTTTACCAGCAGGACCAGCCGGTGGATCGCTGACCGACCTCAACATAAGATCATGGACAATATCGAGGACGCCGAGCCTAGGTGTATTCAACCTGGAGTTCTGCAACACCGACAAAACATCAATGAAGATTACGTTCACCACCATAGCTGCGGCCACCCAGGCTGCCACACAAGGATTCTACTGCTTCGGCCTAAAAATACCACCCCACCAAATAAAAAGGGGAACGATACCATGAGATCCAGCAGTGCTTCAAGTGCTACGAGCTCTCCCACCCGACCAACAAGTGTCAGCACTGTGTCCAGAGGTGCAGTCTGTGCGCACTGGACCATCACTACTCCATATGCAAGGCAACAGTCCATCACTGCTTGCTCTGTGATGGCAATCACCCCGCAATTTCCTACCGCTGCCCCCGCAGACAGGAAAGCATCAAGGCCCAGGTTGAAGCCAAGAGAAACAACCCTTCTACTCCCGCGACCAGAGCTCCAGGTCCTCAACCCACCACTTCAGCTCCCACCAACTGACTAGAAGACTTTCCAGCCTTACCAAAGGGTGGCTCCTCCCACCAGGCGACCCAACCTTCACAATGGGGACCTCAAGGCCCCACAGGATCCTTCGCATCCCCCTGCATCACGTGCAGGCATTATTCCTGGTCTTATTAGACCAGCGAAAAGGCTTGCCGGACCAGACAACCACCATTTTGTCAGTGAACTGAAAGCATTATACCTAGCCAATGGCCTGACCCCCATCATAGTCGCGGACGCAAGTCTCACTGCCTCCTCTACCACTCCGGAGACTACCACCAGGACGACCACGAGGTCAACTTCAACACCGACTCCAGAACCACCCATGACCCGGGCGGCACAAACAGAGGTAATTTCCTCTCCAGCTCCCAACACTCCTACCATCACCATCTCAGCAGCCGCGCTAGCAGACGTGCTGTCTACAAATGCTAACAGCACCACCAACGCTCCTGAAATATCTTCTACCACCAATCCTGAGCCTATCTCAGGCTGCGAGGCGAAAGACGAAAACACCAACTACGGAGGTTACGGACTCCTCAGACGAGGAAATCTTACTAAGATCTCCACCGCCGCACCACAAATACGACCCCTACTCGGTTCAAGACTTCCTCGTGGAGGCCACCTCACCAAACGACAACGACAGCACGACTCAGACAAAGTTTCAGGCAAAGAAAAAATCGGAAAACCTAGAGGTCTACTCTTACCCCACCAGCTCCATAACTGGTGGAGGGCTGAACACCACCATGAAGACCCCCATCCATCGCCACATCTCTAGTATCAGCTATTGATACAGATAATGGCTCTAAAGAGCCTCCACTTACGGGCTCACCATAGCCCGTGCTACTTGGAACGTTTTGTTCCCAGTAGCTGAATCTAAAACAACAACTCCAACACTGTGCTCCAGGGTGCCTGTGCCTCCGTGGCTGTCGTAGGGAGCTTCAGCGACACGTGTCCTCCGGGGACATGCCTCACCCCCATTTAACCTGCAAAGTAGTCTTTGCATATTTCATTTTTCAAGTTTCTTTTGGAAGTGAATACAAAAGTGTAGAGCTTGATCTCATCCTTTCTGTCATATTCAGGAGCAAGTGCTCTCTCTGTCTCTCTAGTATAATGTTATTAAATATGACAGAAAGGATGAGATCAAGCTCTAGTCAAGTAGGTCCGGAGTAGTTGTGATGGGTCCTGGAGGGGTGGTTGAAGTTGTGGGTCCTGGGGTGGTGGTGGGTCCTGGGATGGTGGTGGGTCCTGGGATGGTGGTGGGTCCTGGGGTGGTGGTTGTGGGTCCTGAACAACATAACCATTCCGCGACTCATCGAGCCACTACTGAGCAGATAATGTGTTGTTTAAAATTCATAAGACTCAAGTGAGCTAACCCGCCTCCCATACTCACCTCGTCTCCCAAACGTCTTCACACACAGACACTCTCCCTTGGCTCAAGGTAAGAGCCGTGTAAGTGATACGAGGGAAATTGCCGGCAGTCAAGACATTTATTGACATTGCCAAGGACTCGTTCCCGCCTTCCTTGCTGCATGTTAAAGTGATGTTTACTGACAAACAATATCCATTAAGCGTGTCCACACCCTTAATACATTCACGTCATATTCGCTAACGAGGGCTCATCGTTACCATAATGTCTGTATGACGGCCACTTTAGTCGTGTGGGCCCTTCTTGGCCAGGACGGGGCAGACGCCAGGCACCAGGTCTTTGTGGCACCTGGTCCTTGTGGTCCCAGGCACCTGGTCCTTGTGGCCCCAGGCACCAGGTCTTTGTGGCACCTGGTCCTTGTGGTCCCAGGCACCTGGTCCTTGTGGCCCCAGGCACCTGGTCTTTGTGGCACCAGGCACCTGGTCCTTGTGGCCCCAGGCACCTGGTCTTTGTATTCCCAGGCACCTGGTCCTTGTGGTCCCAGCCACCTGGTCCTTGTGGCCCCAGGCACCTGGTCCTTGTGGTCCCAGCCACCTGGTCCTTGTGGTCCCAGGCACCTGGTCCTTGTGGCCCCAGGCACCTGGTCCTTGTGGCCCCAGGCACCTGGTCCTTGTGGCCCCAGGCACCTGGTCCTTGTGGCCCCAGGCACCTGGTCCTTGTGGCCCCAGGCACCTGGTCTTTGTATTCCCAGGCACCTGGTCCTTGTGGTCCCAGGCACCTGGTCCTTGTGGCCCCAGGCACCTGGTCCTTG